GAAATAAACACAAGGGTGGTAAGTATACATCACCACAAGTTCTTCTAAAAATTTAAAGGCAGTTCAAATGGAGAATAAGTGTGTCTCCATGCATCAAATAGTTGGTAATATCTGTAATACCCAAAGTCCAGTTATTCTATAAAAGGAAATAAAAGAATGTAGATGATTGGTAAAGAGTAACATGTTATTGTTTAAACTTTTATAAACGTATTCATATATGTAGTAATTCTGAAATTTTAAACTACTAAATAAGCCAAAAAAGGTTACATGAATGTTTCCATAATTAGCGCAATTGATGAAATTATGTTTTAAAACTTAATAAATATTCAAATGAAAGGTAGCTTATTTTATAGTTAGCCAAATTATACTGACTCAGTACTAAACTTAACATAACCTATACTAGTGTACATAGTTAAAAAGCACACTTACAATCCAAAAATAGGTCACCTTATATAAACTTATGAAACTCCAAGTCTGAAATTCTTTCCTAGAAAAAAACTGTCTGGATCAAGGTATTCACAGAAATAGCTAAAAATAAAACACGACGAGGCTAGAGTGGTAGATCACTTGCCTAGCATGCACAAGACCCTGAGGTCAATTCTTACCACCACAAGAAAAAAAGAAAGAAAATACACAGCAATACCTTGAAGGAGACAGTGAGGCAGTTGGGTTAGGTAACTGTATTATGCTTATTTATGCAACTGCTTAAATCTTAGTTACAAAATTATATACCAACCTTGAAAGAAACAAAATATAAAACTACACATATTATTAGAACTATATTTTAAAACTTATTTTGGAGGAATTATATTTAGACACTAAATGTGTTTTCTGGAGTGGTTTTGTTTGTTTTTTAGGTTTCTGAGGTTGGGTCTTGCTATATAGCCCAAGCTGGACTTGAACTCAGTATCCTCCTGTATCAGTCTCCCAAATGCTGGAATTATAGGTGTGGACCACCACTCCTGGCCTAAATATGATTTCTTATGTTAATTCTTTTAGCCTTTCTTCTAAGTATTGTTATATTACTTTCATAACAAAAATAATTTACATGATTACACACATCACTAAATTGTTACATTCTTTTAACTTTTTAAATTTGAAACATATACATAATACAGAAGACACAAATAGAAAATGTTCACTGAAAAACAAGTTTCCCATCGTCCAAGTTAGTTCTTTCTTAAAGTTATAGTGCATCTCTAATATATCCTTCCAGAAATTTATGTATACAATTGTATATAATGACTAACACTAACACAGAGCTCATCTTACAATAATTCACTGAATGTCTACCAACTCTAAGAGGGAGTTAGTATTACCATTGCCACGAAATTGACACAGAAACATGTATGTGCTTGCACACACCCAAAAATATAAATGGAGAATACCCCATACTGTTGTTAACTTCATTATACACCTTGGGGAATGCCATGATAACACATAAATTACCTCATTCTTTTTTACAGCTTTAAGTACTCCTCCATGTTATGCTTGTACCATTATATAACATGCTCTCTACTAATGAATATTTAAGATGGCTCTAGTCTACAATTAGAAATAGAGCCATAGGTAGGGATGTACTCAGTGGTAGAGTATGTGCCTAGCATGCACAAGGCCCCCAGTTCAATCCCCTCAAAAGAAGAAAAAAAATCCTACAATGATCATCCCTTTATCTGTCTTTGAGCACATGTGCATATATATATAAAATGAACTCACAGTCTATAGAATCATTTTTAAATGATTTTAACATTTAAGTTTAAAATATTATTGCTTGCAATATAACTTGATAAAGACTTTTATCACTACTGGACTGTTTCTACCATGAAGGATAGCACATAAAGAATAGTAATGACTCATGACTGTTTTTAATTTTATACTTTGAATTACATTCAAGTTACATACTAAAAGCATCAGTAGCTTTTCCTATTAGATATGGAGCTCCGGGAATGTAGGTCAGTGGTATAGCGTTTGCCTAGCATGCATAAAGCCCTAAGTTTATCCCCAAAGCAAAAACAGAAATGATTTTATAAACTGATTTTACTTCTTTATACAACAATATATACATGTACAAGAATGTCATAATTAAATACACTTCTTTGTACAATATATGCTAATAAAAAACTAAAAATAAAGTAAAAATTACAAAACACTAATAAGTACACACAGAAACACAAAACCTCCCATGCTCATGGATAAAAATAATTAACACTGTTAATATGCCCATACTACCCAAAGCAACTTACAAATACAATGCCATACTCATCAAAATACCAATGACACTATTCATAGAAATAGAAAAAAAAGTCATAAAATTCAAATGGGATTCTCAAAAATACTCTGAAAGTTTCTGAATAGCCAAAATAATCTTGAGCAAAAACAACAAAGCTGGAGGTGTAACAGTACCTGATCTCAAGATATACTAAAGGGCTACAGTAACTAAGACACTGTAATACTGGCATAAAATCCAACACACACACCAATGGAACAAAAAAAGATCCTAGAAATAAATCCACACATCCACAGACAACTAATTTTTTTACAAAGATGCCAAAACACATTGGAGAAAGGAAAACCTCTTCAATAAATGGTGCTGGGGCAACTGGCTATCTATATGCAGAAAAATGAAACTAGATCTCAACACATGCTAAAATCAACTCAAAATGGAAAAAAGACCTAAATGTAATATCTGAAATTGTGAAACTACTAGAAGAAAACAGGGGAAACAATTCAAGACACTGGCATGAACAATTATTTTTTTTTTATCAGAACCCAAAAGCACAGGCAACAAAAGCAAAAATAGACAAATGGGAGTATATCAAACTAAAGCTTCTGCACAGCAAAGAAAACAATAGTGAAGAAATGACCTACAACCTGGAAGAAAATATCTGCAAACTATTTATCTGACAAGGGATTAAAAACCAGAACAAGGCACTCAATTTTTTTTTAAAAAAAAGAAAAACAAATGACTAAAAAGTGTATGAAAAAAATGCTCAATATCATTAACCATCACAAAATGCCAACTGAAATTGCAATGAGATTCCTTCTCACCATCAGAATGGTTATTATGAGAAAAGCAAGAAATAACAAATGCTGGTAAGCATGCAAAGGGAACTTACATACAGCTGGTAGCAGTGAAAATTAGGATAGCCATTATGGAGAACAGCATGGAGAGTCTTCAAAAAAATTAAAAATACAATTACCCTATTATTTAGCTGTCCCACTTCTGGGTATACATCCAAATAAAGGAAATCAACACATCAAAGAGATGACTGCCCTCCATGTTTATTGCATCACTATTCACAGTAGCCAAGATATGAAATCAACTGAGGTATATCCATCAGGAGATGAATGGATAAAGAAAATGAGGTATATATACTTACGTATATATACACAATGGAATATTATTTAACCACTAAAAAGAATGAAATACTATCACTGCAGCAAAAATGGAGCTGGAAGATATTATGTTAAATGATACTTAAATCAAAGAAGAGAGTAGAATAATGATTACTAGAAGTTAGAAAGGGTAGGGAGGGAAGGGAGGGGTTATAGGGAAGTTGGTTAACAAGCAACTTACTTAGAGGAGTAAGTTCTAGTGAAAATAAAACTTCTCATCTCCTTTATAATAACATGAAAATTCAAGTGATGTTAAGTTTAAAATTGATTAAGTATTTAAATAAATGTTTAAGGAGCACAACTGAGTTAATATCCTAATGAAGTCAAACTTGGTGTGTGTTTCAACAAAAAAATCTACTCTAGTTCTAAAATGAGGATTTTGTCTCTCAGTATTTTAATTATTTTAATTTTTTTTTT